CAAAACTCATTCAAATATTCTCTATTTAATATATGTTAAAGAACATGTCAAGATATTATTTTAAATCAAGTTACAAGTTAATTCTACACTAGGTACAACTAGGTGAATTAAATTTCATACTAGAAAATAATTAAATAAAGTTTTCTAAACTCATTCAAATATTCTCAATTTAATATATGTTAAAGAACATACCATACTCATTACATATATCAAGTCAAAAGTCAATTTAAATGAATGTAACACTTGAATAGAAATTAATTAAACTAACTAATTAATTTCTCTAGAATTTAAATCAATTTCAAATGACTCCATATAATTATATGCCAATAGTACTATCATGGTAATCACATATATCAACTCAAAAACTTAATTAAGTAAGTGGAACATTTAAATAGAAATTAATTAATTTTAAATAATTAAATCTCTAGATTCTAAAATAACTCCAAATGACTTTATACTAATACAAGTTATAGATTAAGTCATGGCCTTCAAGAATATCATATCCTAGCTTAATTTCATACAAGGTACTACAACCTATTAATTTAAAAATGAAGTATAAGACATGTAAATAACTTATTGTAAGCTATAAAAATAATTAAAACACCTAGATTAAAAACCTAAATCACCCCCTACCTCACAAGAGGATTGTTCCTCTTGAATCCAAAGTAAAGAAAGGAATTTTACAATTTCCTTCAAGGGTTATATAGAGAAAGGTGAGGCAAGTATTTTATGTTCCAAGCTTTTGAGTCTAAGGTGAGTGGAAGAAGGTTAAAACCAAGGTTTTAAGCCTAGGTTAATGGTTTTCTTCAATGGTGGCTAAGGTTTTATATGAGGAAGATGATGAAATCAAAAACTGTAATCCTCCACTCACTTGGTCAAAGTAAATCAATTACACCTAGTCTTGCACCATGCCCACACACACACAAAAGTTAGACTTTAATTTGGAGCCTACACTTGTCATTAATCCAATGGTTCATTATAGGCTTAATCTAAAACCTATACTAGTCAACAATCCAAGCCAACAAGTGCACCAATGCTAGGCCAACAAGTGGGTGAATCTCCACCCTGCACATGTCATCATCCAATGCTTCCAAGTGTTAACTAATGAGATGCTTACAAGTGGCCCAATGAGAATGCGACACTTGTTACATTTTTCAGTAATTACAAAAAGGTCCTTTTTAAAAATATCTACCAAAATAAATTGCAAAAAGGGCCCTAAGAAATAAAATAATTACTTTCTATAATTACAAAAAAGCCCCAAAAACAAATAATGTTTCCAAAGAAACTATGCATCTATACCCTTTTACATAAAAGTAAACAAGTAGCATACTTTTCTACAAAAGTAAAAATACATTAAGCATGAAATTTAAATATCATGGATGCATGCAAAATCAGAACCAAATCCGAGCACAAAAAGTAAGGTTATACGAAGAAAATCATTCTCGAGAAAAAGACGAAAAGTGAATAGTGTCAAAAAAATGAAAATGTGGAAATGACTCGATCCTTAAAGGAAGTTGTCAATCCAAAGGAAAGAGTCTCAGAAACCATTTTCGAGCACTCAAGACGGCACTAAGTGATGAGTAACCGAACTCAGAAAAGAAAATTCAACGGAAGAAATTTAACCATAAAATTTCAGAAAAAGGAAAGGAAGGAAAATGATCAGGTCATTACAAAACAACTTTTCCTTCTTACCTCTCTCACAAATCTCACCTTAAACCCCTCAAAATTAAGGTTGAAGTATGTAAAATATAAGTATATACATAGATATAGAAAGAGAAAGAAAAGAAATAGAGAGAGAGAGAAGATGCCGAGAATGAGGTGGAAGACAAGGCTTGGCCCTTGTCTTGCAAATGAAATGTGGCCTAGCCTTGCCACATGTCAACATTTGAGTGGATTCTACTTTATGCCAAGTTACCTTATTGCCCAGTATCTTCTATTGCAATGCCAAGCTAATCCTCCAAAATATCTCCCAATGTGTATTTACATATATATGCACATATGTGTGAAAATACCACAATGTCCCTCAATGCAAATGGCAAAACCGGGAGAGGTTCCTGAGCCCGAAAATCATCCTCGACTTCCAAAAAAAATTCTAAAAATTATCCCGTCGCCTCTAATTGACTTAAAATAACAAGAATAAAAATTTAAAAAAATCTAGAAAAATCCTCTACATTGCACTAATACTGTTCCTTTTATTGGAGATGATCTTGACGATTGATTGTCTATCAGTTATCTTTTAGATTTTCTTTTGCTCATGAGCTGTGTTTACATGTTCATATATTTATATGCATCATGTTTTTGTTCTTAAGATTATATTGTCATTATTTTGGAATTTCTTTTTGATCTATATGACTTGCTTCATCTTAATGCATTGATCTTCTCTATCTTTGATAATCTTTGTTAATTTGTTCCAAAAAGGAGGAGAAAGATGTTCAATTCAGGGGGAGTTTTCTAATATTTTTTTTTCTTTTTAATATTAAACTTTCATTGGTAGTTTTGTTTGATCTTTGTGCAGTTAATCAAATGAAGTAATGATCAAGAACAAAATTTCAAATTTCAAGTGAAAGAAATGTTTCCGTGCTTTGACAAACTGTAATTTGCTTTTTCTGCTTGGGTATCTAGATTACATTTTTTTTGTTTGTCACGAAATTGCCAAAGGGGGAAATTGTGAGATGTATATTTTGTAATTGGCTAATTTTGGTGTCAAAACAAGTTCGATTGAGTTGAATTTGTAAGTTTAAAATTCAAGATCGAGATCGGTTGTGGAATTAAGAAGTTGTTCGCGAAAAATTTATGAACAACACTCTAGGAAGTTAACTTAAAAGGTTAGGACACTTATATACATCGTATGTTTTTTAAAATTGCATATCTCCTCCAAAAATTTTCTAAGTGTTAATCATTTAAGTTCAAGTCTGGCTAACTTGAACCGATTTCATGCAGCTGAACCGGTTTAAGATACATGCTTCGAATTTTTTATTCATTGGCTAACTTGAACCGGTTTAAGGACTCTGAATCGGTTCAAGGTCTTCAGAAACTTATGATAACTTTGTTTCCTGATTTGTTTAAACTTCCTTTTTAATATAGATTTCTGTCTAAAAGACCTATGCACGAATTTAACTTATTTTCTAAATATGTCTAGGTTTTTGAAAGTCTATATAAACATGTTTTCACATCTAGGTTTGTGTAGCTTTTTGCATTTAAACTTTTGATTTCTTTAAAAGCATTTGAGAGATATTTTGTAGAAAACCAAATCTGATTTTTCTATTTTTGTTTTGAGAACAATTACATAAACACAAGAGTGATTTTAGGGTGTTGTTCAAATTTCTGAGCATGTTCAAAGTCTATTGAATATTACATCTACAACGATCAGAGAAAACATATCTATTTCTTCTACATCAAATTCAAATCTTGAAGAAATTGGGTGAAGCGATCACACTTTGAAAGGGTCAAAGTATTTGAGGAGTGTTGTTTGATCTATTAGTAATCCTTTTACAGAGATCAAGTGTAAGCCTGGGGTTGACAGCTGTTGGATAGGACGTCACAAAGCCAGAGATTGTCAGCAATTGGTTTTTGGTATAACGATAAGGTGTGAGCCTGAGTCAAAGTTCATTGTCCTTTATTTCAAACAAAGTGGATTGCTTTGCTCTGGACTGTATAGTTTACGAGGTTTTCCCACAATGATTGGTCTCTTCTGCCAATCAGACTAAAAATGTTGGTGTCATTCCTCAAACTTTATTTGCTTTACTTGCTTTTGTGTTGTATGTGCTTGTTTAATTATTTGCTAATTTAAGCAAAGCTTATTCAATAGAAAGACACGTGATTAAGTCTTCTCTAGATAAAAACTTAAATTTTCCACAATTTAGTCCGTTGCACAACTCACATTCTCTTCACCCTCTCATTATAAGTGTACAGTTTGTCTTTCTTCTCCACTCCATACTCATTATATCCTCTCAATATGAACACACTTTTATTCTATTAAAAATTTGTAGAAAAAAAGAGTTTGAATTTTCTAAATCAGTTTCTATGATTCGTTTTCTTTAATTATTATTATTATTATTATTTTTACTTTTATTAACTTTTGTTATTATAAATTTGGGTGTTTATATATATATATATATATATATATATATATATATATTGTTTGTGAGTTGGGACTATTTTTATTTATATTGTTGAAAATATTATTTTTTTTATTTTTTTCGCCTAAAGCCCCAACTTAAATAGAGCAGTGACATCCTAAATTTATTCTATATTAATTCAAACAAAAATGATTTACGTGACAAGTCAAGGTCTTATAGGGGCAAGTAAAAACAATGGTTGCTTTTGCTCTCCACTGAAATGGTGGAGCCAACCACCAAAACAAGACTGTATGCGGCCCAGTGCAATAATGTGTTTTGGGACTCCAGCGTAGTTTCTTTCTCACCCAACGAAAATAAAACATTCAGTAATTCATTCATAACAACAAAAAGAAACAATTGAGTGAGGAAGATCATCCATTCATCTATTGGCCCAGAGAGAGATCTATGACAACAGACAGCGTGCTGGATTTTCTATTGGAGAACATGAGGCAGCTAATGATATCCAACAAGGAATTGCTTTCCAAGATTTATAAGAGGAAGCTCACTGACAGGTGACAGATCGAATGGGTTTACGAGGAGATGCAGTTCCTGCGGAAGTTTCTAAAGGATTCGGAGGACATACGCAACGAGGTGAAAGTTGTTGTGGCAAAAATTGGAGATGTCACTAACCAAGTTGATGATATCATCGACTCATTCGTGCTCATCAATACTATCTTGGAGATGTATGAAAGTGCGAATGGCATTAAATTTGACTTCGACATTTCAGCGCCAGATAAGGGGTTTAAAAGGATTTATGAGGATTGTGTGGACCAGGCTAAGTTGATTAATGATTTTGTGTGTAAGCCTTTGATGGAGCATATTGATCATATCAAGAGATCCAGCACACAGATGATGGAGATTCTCTAATGGATTGAGTCTCACATGCCTGCAGAGAAAATTGATCGTGGACATGGCTTCATAAAACAACAGATCAAGTATTTTATAAAGCGGACGATCATGAAAGAGGGAGAGAGTTTCAGATCGCTAATTCGGTCATCAAAATTTCTTATTCTCCTCCCCAGCTCGACCGATGAGGTACTTTCCTGGGCTGCAAAAAATCCAAAGGAGCTACCATGGTATGATCCTCACTTCTTTCAATGTTTCAACAACATGGTCAACCTCGCTAAGACAACTCATCATGCAATTGGCGGTCTCTTAGAACTGCTCAAGCCTATCATGAGAGAAGTGATGGAGATTTATGAGAAGGGATTGAGTGTCACGTGGCTTCAGTCTCACATGAACGATCAAGTTAGTCTCTTCTTCAATTCGTTCCAACAGACAGTCAACCTAGCCGAGAAATTTCATCTTGAATTTGCCTGTGCCATACAAGAGCTTAAGACAGTCGATGTAGAGCCAATCATGGATGTCAAGTGGGGAATAAGTGTGTGTTTTTCGTCAACTATGCAGGGAGGTCTTGGCAGTGTGAAAGAAGATATTAAGTCTATCAAGAGTGAAGTGATGGAGATGTATGAGAAGATGTATGGCATCGGAGGACTCATGCAGATTAAAAGTTCTTCCCACGAAATATCATCAAAACCCACCAGCCCAGTAGTAGTGGAGGAAGAAACTATAGTCGGTTTAGAAGATGCCATTATGACAATAATGGAGTTGCTTACCGAACAACATGAAAAGGAGCTTAAAAGTGTACCCATTATCGGAATGCCCGGACTTGGTAAAACAACTCTGGCCAAAAGAGTATACAGTGATCCTCTTATTGCACATCACTTTTATATTCGTGCATGGACCAATGTATATCAAGCATACCAAAAAAGAGATTTGTTGCTTACCATTCTAAACTCTGCACATATCCAGCTTAACAGTGAAATCGACAAGATGAGAGATGAAGATATAGGTGTCTGTTTGTACAAAAGTTTGAAAGGTATGCGATATCTTGTTGTCATGGATGATTTATGGGAGATCAAGGTCTGGGATGATTTGAAAAGATATTTTCCAAATGACAACAACGGAAGCAGAATCATGTTCACCAGTCGACCGGCTTTGCATGCCAACCCATACAATTTGCGATCTTTAGATGAAGATGAAAGTTGGGAATTATTGGGGAAGAAGACTTTTGGGAAAGAAAGTTGTCCTCGAAAGTTGTTAACAATTGGGAAACAAATTTCCAAAAAATGTCAAGGATTACCGCTTGCGATTGTTGTAGTATCTGGACTTTTAGTAAAGAATGACAAAACACAAGAATGGTGGAGTCATGTTGCTAAAAGTGTGAGTTCATACATAGCTAGTGACCCAGACCAATACATGGAGACACTGTCATTGAGTTTCAACCACTTGCCTCTTCACTTGAAACCATGCTTCCTCTATTTTGGTGCATTCCCCGAAGATTTTGAAATCCCTGTTCGTCAGGTCATATGGTTATGGGTATCCGAGGGATTTATACGGCATAATGATCTGAAAAACTTGGAAGATGTGGCAGAGGATTACTTAATGGATCTAATTGATAGAAGTCTAGTAGTTGTTTCCAAGAAAAGGCATGTCGCATCCACGATCTCTTGCGTGATTTATGCTTGAGAAAGGCACGAGAAGAGGATTTTCTTCAAAATATTTCTCGGTATAGAAAGACTACTTCTTCTTTATATCACATTTCTAATAAGCAACGCCGTTTATGCACCTATTCTCACTTTGTTGATTATCCTTCTATAAAGTGTCATGTGCCTCACGTTCGCTCCTTTTTGTCCTTTAACCGTTCATTTTATAACACACCTAAGGATATATCACTCATTTGTCGAGCCTTTAAACTTCTTAGGGTGTTAAATCTCTCATCCATTGAAGTTATCTGCTTTCATCCAGATCTACAAATGTTAGTTCACTTGAGGCATTTAGCAATTAATGGATTGAGATATGATGATATCATGCCATTAATATCCAATCTTTGGAAGCTAGAAACCTTTGTTGTTGGTGGATATGGGGGTCCGATATATCTGGAGCATGATATCTGGAAGAAAGTGAAATTGAGGCATCTATGTGCTAGGCGGTTTGTTGAATTTCCTTCTGTAGTCAATGATGTTGGTGATCACTTGGTACTGCATAACCTACAAAGTGTAAGCAAACTATACCTTGAATGTGGAAGTCAACAAATCTTGGCACGGATGCCCAATATTAGAAAACTAAAATGTGAATGCGATCGTTTTCCTCAGTTAAACTTTCTAATTCACCTTGAAACGCTGCATATAGCTTGCAGTAAGGACAAAACAGATCTGGTAAGGCTTCCTCATCAAAGTTGGTTTCCCCCAAATCTCAAATGCCTAACTTTATCTTTTTTCCGTCTACATTGGGAGGATATGTGGATTCTCGGAAGGTTACCCAACCTTGAGGTTCTTAAATTGTCAAATGCTTTCAAAGGGTCAAGGTGGGATACAAATGATAATGAGTTCATCAAACTCAAATTTTTGAAACTTCAGGGACTAGACATCAAGCAGTGGAATGCCTCGAGTAATCATTTTCCCAGCCTTCGGAAATTGGTGTTGGATAGCTGTTATCTACTCGAGGAGATCCCATGTGGTTTAGGTGATATATGTACACTTGAGATGATTCAAGTGCGGGATTGTTGCTCCTCTATTGAAACCTCTGCAAGAGAAATTCAAGATGAACAACAAAGCAAGGGAAACGATGGGCTTAAGATCTTTATTCAGCAGCATGCTTAGGTCCCCTGCCGTGATTTTCTATGAATTTAATCTCCAGGTTCGATTCAACTTTGTTTATTATCTTATGATCAAAATCCACTGTTCTGTTTCTAATTAATTTGGATCTTTATGAATTCTAATTCATCTTTGTTAATCTTTTATGTTTTATGCGTTACTAGTTGATAAACAAGACTAAATAAGAGATGGGTTAAAGACATAAAGGGTTGGATGTCAAAGTGCATTTCAAAATTTTCTCAGATCTCCAACACAACGGAGTGATTTATGTATGTTATTTATTTGTGTTTTTGTGTGTGTTATAATTTCTTTTGATAATTTGATATGATATATTGCTCATTCCTAGGTGTAACAATTGACTAAAAAGTCCCTATTGAAAACTGTTAGAAAATATGATAGCTATGATTTATAGAATGAATTACCATATTATGAGAAATTTGATTATGCTATAGAATATGTCATAGAATATTCTGTTATTTGATTTAGATTTTATTTTATTTTCTTTCTTATACTATGAATATGTGCTCTTTTTTATGTGATGTCTGTATCTATTAGTGTGTGTGGTGTAATTTAAATGAAAAAGAAAAAGAGAGAAGAAAAGTTAATGAGTGGGACCCACAAGCATTTAAATGGTCATGAGACCATCTTTACTTTCATTTTTTTTTTTCTCATTCCCGTAAGGTTATCTCTCTCTCGTCCAGAACTCCTTTTTTTTTTTCTTTTTTGGTTCCAATCTTCAAGCTTTGATTCCATCTTCATTACTTACCGGATTTAAGTGCCGTTTGAGGCAAAACGACGAGTGTGACGAGCTCTACGTTCTAGTACCAGCAATTCCAATTTTGCTACCTTCCTTGGAGTTAAAAAATTTAAACCCATTTCTAGGGTTTTGCCTATTTTGAGGTAGGGCCATCTTAATCCACTATAGTCTTGTTCTATTGTGAATTTTACCTCCATGTTGGATTAAATATGCTTAATTTAGAGTTAATTATATCTATGATGGTATTAATGATGTCTAGAGGGTTTTCACGATCTTGAATATGGTTGGTTCATGTGCAAATTATATTTAGTTGTTGATTTCCTATGTTTACTATGTGCTAGCATGCTGAAATTGATGTCTGAGAGTATGCTTATTTAAATTGCGCCAAATTTCCCAATTCATGATGTTGAGCTCATATATATATATACATGCACATGCTTAAATGTATTTTGTTGTAACTTATTGTGTTAATAATTACTTGGGAGATGTTGAACATGTTGAATGTTTAATTTTATGATGGAAAATTTTAAATGCCATGACATTGAATGTATGGAACATATATACATGCACATACCATTGGGTTTGCATGAAATGGGAGAAATTTTTCTTCAAATAAATATGGGGAATTTCAGGGAAGTGTTTTTGATAAAATGGTTTTATGCGAAACCCGGTCGCTGCGGGGTTACCAACGGGCCGAAGGCTAATATAGCCTAGAGGGGACTAGGGAGTCGCCCTAGCGTGGTTGAGCTAGCTGGGCCCCATAATGACGCCGCGGGGTTACCAAGGGTCAGGGACACTAGCCAATCCTCCTTTCGTGTCGCGGCGGGGTTACCAAAGGGCGGGCTGTATTAACGTTTGAAAGTGATGATTTTGAGAATGAAAATGGGGAGTGTCATGCATTGCATGTCATTTCATTGCATTGCATCGTTTATACTTGGAATTGACTTGTATGTTGTATTTGATCCCCTACGTTGTATAATCCCTATCTCCCATTGGCCTATGCTTTGCTTGAATTCACAAGGACACAAGATTTGTGTCTTAAGTGTCACCTACTGAGCATATAGCTCACCCTACTATTTATACATTTTTTTCAGGTCTTGGAAAAGAATCGGTGGACGACAACCCACCTTAAGCTTGAGCGATACTAGAAGCTTACTTTTGTGTCTTTTGTATATTTCCCATTATTTTTGCAAAGCACTAAAAGTATAAAGGTATATATGTATATTTTGCAAAACTTTGTCATGTAACCTTGTTGATGAATGGGAAGGATAATTTTAGTTAAAGTAATTATCGGTGTTATTTGATTGTGTATGATCATATACTGTTGCCGTGAATTCGGAATTTGAGCCATGATAGGTTAAAAATGAATTTAAACAGGGTATGGTAGGCCTATTTTTAGGGGAGGTTATGCCGAATTTTTTGTAAAATTCTTGGCATCAGCTAGGGTCGTTACAAATTTGGTATCAGAGCAAAGGTTCGGAAACCTTTAGGACGACGGGTAGAGGCCTACATAGAGTCGCATGGAATGTTGTTTGTGTTGCTTACTTGACTACTTACTACGTGGTATCTTATTTAAATGAGCATGCTTAACTGCCTATGTGCTTACTTGCTTACTTGTTTATGTTAAAATGTTTCTTGCATAGTCTTGCATGCTAAGTGTTGTACGGTATTAATTCTTGTTAAGTCGTCCACTGTGGACCTTAGTGTCATGTTTCTGAATCATTTTCTCGTTTTATAGCACGATGTCACGGCGTGAGGAACCTAGAGAAGTTGGACCTAGACCAACAAGGGGTGATGTTGGTGAGAGCTTTAGCTCCAATCCGGCGGAGCCAGTTGATGAGAACATGCTTCTTAGGGACTTGATTCCCCCAAGAGCTGTTCCCCCAAGAAGAGAGAATGTTGAAACACCCGTACCCGTAGAAGTGGGTGAAGGTTCTGTGGCACTGGAGTTTAATCGTTTGTTGCAAAATGTCGTGAGGGCAACGATTGTTGCTCAGCCGCAGTTGGTACCACAACCTACAATTCAAGTTGAGGAGACTCCAGCTCAGAAGCGTCTCAAGATCATTAAGGGGTTTTCTCAGCTGATGCCGGTTATGTTTGAGGGCGGTGCGGATCCAATGGTAGCCGACAACTACATGGATCAAGTCGAAACTCAGTTGACCTCAATGGATGTGACAGAGGATCACTTGAAGATCATCCTAGCAACTTACAAGTTTACTATGGATGCCAAGGTTTGGTGGAAGTCGATCACTAACCAGTATAAGATTGACGAGATGAGTTGGGACAGGTTCAAGGAACTGTTCTATGAAAAGTACTTTCCGCTTTCCAAAAGATGGGAGTTACAACACCAGTTTCATAATCTTTTTCAAGGGAACATGTCAGTGGCGGAGTATGAGAACAAGTTCACCTCACTCTCCCGTTTTGCTCCAGAAGTGGTGAGAGATGAAGCTAACAAGACTCGGAAGTTTGTCTCGGGTCTTAATGATCGAATGAGGCCGTTGATCACGGCACAGTTTATTAAGGTTTACTCTGAAGCAGTGGAAAGGGCTTTGATGCTGGAGGCTGATAATAGAGAGAAGGATGCAAGAAGAGAGCAATTGAAGCAAAAGAGGGGTGCAGGGCCATCCTCAGAGGGATCTTCTTGGAAAAGGAACAGGGGCAGTCCATCTCAGTTTCAGGGGCAACAGTCTACAAGATCTGCTCCCACCACTCCTATGCCAGCTGGATCTGACAAGAGTGCAATTGTTTGTTATCAGTGTCAGCAGCCCAGACATTACAAGTCCAGTTGTCCGATGAGATCGTCTTCAGTTTCGTCAGCTCTGAAGGCTTGTTATGGGTGTGGCCAGCAGGGTCACTTGATTCGTGATTGTCCGAGTTAGAGAGCAGGCACCATTAGTGGTAGAGGGTCACAGCAGAGGCCGTCACAATCAGCTACAGTTCAGTCAGGTTTCAGACCACCACCACCACAGTCTACTATGTCTTCACAGGGTTCACGATCAGTTAGGAGGGATACTCCTACTATGTCAGTGCAGCAGTCAGGTGTTCAGGTTGGCAGTCCTCAGGCACAGGTACCACAGGGACGTGTTTTGCACTGGCACAGACTGATGCATCTTCTG